AACTCCACGTGGCCAGCCCGTTTGAGCGAGGCGCAAACCCACGACCGAACTCCCAGTGTTCAAGGAACGAAGATCTCTTGGCTACTGGTGGGCCTATTTTTTTGTTCTACTAACCTCTAACATCTCACCTGTTTCACCCTATATTTCAATGAATTTTAGCAAATTTAATAAGTTAATTTATATTTGATGNACTTATATATAAACAAGTTTTAGGATTTACTTTATGTACTGTATTTATATTGTTTTCCTTGCAAATACAGTAAATAAACTAGTTATGAGCAATATCTGGATGTATTTAATACTCAGCTCGGGTGGCGAAAAAATCCCAATAAGGTTTGTTTGTTTGTTTATTGTTTAGTTAAGTTACGGCAACGCAACACTTGGGCGATCTGTCTAGGGGTAATGCCTTCCGGGAGGTCTTTTTAAGAGAAACTGGCCCATATTTAGGCGTTACAGAAAGGTCTTTTTAAGGGAAACGGGCCCATATTTAGGAGTTACAGACGTGGAGAAAACCCGGAAAATTCCACATGGCCAGGCCGTTTGAGCGAGGCGCAAACCCACGACCGAACTACCAGTGTTCAAGGAACGAAGATCTCTTGGCCACTGATGGGCTTATTTTTTTGTTCTACTAACCTCTAACATCTCACCTGTTTCACCCTATATTTCAATGAATTTTAGCAAATTTAATAAGTTAATTTATATTTGATGAATATAAATTACGTATTTAAATAATAGGTTACAATTGCAATTATTAATAGTTTATTGGTTGAAAATGCAATACTGTATATCAACATACTTACGTATTAGTATATAGCCATATTCCCGATATTACGAATTTCTTCGAAGCGCATTTATAAAAAATTCGAAAGTCGCTTTAGTAAAAGTTTGAAATAGAGAATTGTGAGATAGCAAGAATTTTTATTGTTACATTATTTATTTTCCACTCCATACTTTTTCTCTGTTATATATAACAGAGAAAAAGGATAGAGATTGGTCAAAAAATGATCCCCCCAGATTTTTACATTTTTGGGCTCAGGACACCTTGAAACGTCAAGAAATGCAAATAATTCGGTTTTTTTTCCTGTATATATGGATGTTAGTGTGTGTGGGGCACGATTTTGTTCATCCTCTTTGAAGCTTTACTCTTTTATTCTCTGTCGGCTGGATGGTCGAGTGGTCAAGGTGACAGCCTACCGCTCTGGGGCACCTGGAATAGAATTCGGATGGGTCGAAAAATCCCCAGAAATTTTTCATGGTGTGATCCGACCGGATACGTTGGCCCCGTCCCTCCCCATCCGGCCGCCCCATTGTGGGTCTGGTCGAACCCATAATGGGCTTGCTAAAAGAGGCCCTCTTAGTGTCCACAGGGTGGAAAGAGTAAAAAAAAACTCATTGTGGCTCTGGTCATGCTCATAATGGGTATGAAAGAACAGTCCTCTTAGTTATCTCAGGAAAGAAAACATTAAAAAATCCAGCAACGAGTTGCTTAACTTTCCCGGCAACATTTAAAAGTGCTCGTCTGGCGCCATCTATTATACCATTTTATTATTAAAAATTTTAATATTTTTAATTATTATAAAATGGCAAAAAGCTTAATTTTGAAAGTGGGGTTTATAAAAAATTATAAATGCTAATAAGGAGTAAAATCGTCATTAAGTCCGACTCGAGATACGACACACGACTTCCCTTTATCTCCCCACCCTGTTGGCCACCAAAATTTAAATCAATCCTCTAATCAGTGGCGTACCGTAGTGGGGGCAGAAGGGGCGGCCCGCCCCGGGCGGCACTTTTTAGGGGGCGGCAAAATTACCTTTTAGGGGCGGCAAAATTTCACAATAAATAATAATATCTTGTAAAAATTTGAAACATTTCATTTCATATTTTTGTTGCACCTACNAAGGAAATCCTGCGAAACCTGTTGACCTTTTTTTTTCTTTTTTTTTTGCTTGTACGATTCATTTGCGTTCATATACACCACTAATGTCCAATAGAACTATTTTAAACAGGTCGCTGCATTACCACCGAATTTTTCATTGCTTGTTCTGTGACAAAACTGAATTTTGGTCTTTTAAATTGAAATACCTAAATAAGGGGGACCGAAATTTTCCTCCGCCCCTGGCGGCTGACACCCACGGTACGCCACTGCCTCTAATACAGAAACCATCCTGCAAAAGTTCAGAAATTTTCGACAAAAAGCACAGGGATTATAAACGCTTATGGTATTGCTTCGAAGCACCAAGCGTACTTTATCAAAGAGAAATTACAAGAAAAAATTAAATATAAAAAAAATATTGCGCCAAGTCAAAGATGCTTTACTTTGGATATCAATTGTTTTTTTTAACTAATTTTTTCACTGCGCTTCTATTGGTTTCGAATTATTTATGGCTATTTATTATTGCTTCTATAACATAATTTGGTCTTAAAACAGTCAACAATAGCAAAACAATGAAAAAAGTAAAACCGAGATAGGAATCTAACCGCAACAAACTAAAATAGGATGAGAAAACTGCAAAATATAATAAATAGGATTGTTTCAGCTTATTCCCGTTACCAGTTTCTGTGGATTTTTAAGCCTAAATTTTTTGGCTTTTTTAGTAACTTACATCACACAAGGAACTCTTACTGATATAGACTTTATAACTGGATGTGGATATGCATTTCGGGTCTTACTGACCCCTCCTCAGTCCTTGTTTTTATATAGATCTTATTAAAATAAATAAGTTTTAAATTCCATCACACATACGTGTTTACAAAGAATATTTAGAAAAATTTTATTTTACTTACATTGCCTGATTATTGAATACAAATTGATATTAAAATTGAGCGATTAACTGGATATATTATAAAAACTTTCATAAAATAAGCTGTATAAAATAAAATTAAAGGAGATAAATGAAAATATTTTAAATTTAAAGAATAATTTTTCTAGAAAATAATTTAAATCGTTACTATCTGTAGATGGGTAAAATTACAAGTCACTGAGATTTAAAACAAATTTTTTAAAAATTGACAAAATTATAAAAAAGAATAAACTGAATTTTAAAAAATGGGTTTAAAAAACTTTTTTCAAAAAAGTTGAAATTAAAAGCGTTTAAAACCATTATAATATACACAAATTACACTGAGAGAGAATCAAAACTTAAATTGACAGTAATGCAACACATTGTATTATAACCGGATGGGGGAAGAGGGGATGGAAGGGATCTTCAGTGGACTCATTACTTTCAGCTTATTATTCACTGGTTTAAGTTCTCAGGGCAAGATTACACCCGTGGGTTCAAGATAATTGATTTTTTTCTTTTTTCAAAATTTCATATTTTGAAATTCTATAATGTACTTCAGTTTAGTCAACCGTCGGTAGGAAATTAATTATTACCGTTGTAACCAGAGTGGCGAAACTAATTTACAGACCAACTTATTACGTCATTCATCAAATCGTTATTTTTGCATTTTATTGTATTTATTTTTTTTTCTTTTGTATTTAATTTCTTGAAAATAATTTAATTTAAATCAACTTTTCATAATTAACCCATAAAAGTGAAATCATTTTGGCTATTAATTAAGGTGTGGTGTATTTCTTTATGTACTCGAAAGTACAGTATTTCCAAGGTAAATCGTTATATCCATTTTTTTTTAAATTCTGACCATCAATTTTAGTACGACTTTTTTATGCAAACAATATTCGGATACCCAGTGATAGCTTTCTTTTAAAACGAATCGTAGTGTGATGTTTCAAAAAAGGGCAAGGTCGGAGTTGAAATCGACATTGCAAGTTTGCCGGAGTCGGAGTCGGACTTTTTTTTTCTGACTCCATCACACTGCCTGCTGCTTTGAAGATTTGTGTTAGTTTCGGTTACAACTTCAGTATTTTTCATAAATGTTTTACTTTCCAGACACGATCGCACGACTAACTACAGGTGTTCACTGGTTTTATACACTCGGCCATCGATGTGCCTTAAATTAATAAAAGCTATTTTCTGAAAGTATAGAGCATATCGCGTAGATATGCATAACATTTTGCTACGAAATGGTCTTTATGGTTTAATGTCATTTTGATATCGAAATTTATCGAAGTGCCTATTTTCTAAGAAATTTCTATAGACACTAATTAATTAAAAAGTATTTTTCTTACTTTATATTTTACCAATAGTAAACTTTGAGGTCGGAGTTCGCATGTCGAAAGAATTTTAACGACTACGACTCTGCCCAAAAACATACAACTTGACTCCACAACACTGGCAGTATGATGATGTTTTTACTATCTTGGCCATCCAGCCATTGAATTATACATAATTTTCAATGATTTGGATTATCTGAGACATAGCTATATGACGCACTTTTAACAGTGCTGTGCTCTACACACTTGTGCATACTTTTTTCTACTTTCTGTATTGCTTTGTCTACCAATGTATCATATACTGCCATTGATATAGCTTCATTTGTATTTCTCTGCTAATGATTTGTTTGTACTATATACAGTATACCGTAATTATATTTTACTTTTTCAATTGCATTTTATCTAAGGTAATTTTGTTTGAAGAGCATGTCAATCAAAAAGTGATATTCTTATTAGATAAATTATTAATAAAATTGATTTCATACTTCCTTTAAATCTATGATTCAATTCAGTCTGTTTCTGTATTGCTCAATTTCTTAATTACTTCCAGCACCTATTGATTTCATTTAGGTTGTATAATTGCTCCTCTACTACATGTACGTAATTATGTTTTACAAATTGTTTCAGTAAAAATAAATTAATTGAAAGTAGAGAATTTAATTTAATTTATAAAACTCAAAATTTTATTTTTAATATTATAAAAAGCTGTGTAGAGAAGAAATTTAAATATGAATATAAATTTTAAAATTTGCACATACAATTACAATTTAAAAAATTATTATTATTTATAAATTGCTAAATTAAAATACAGTATTATTTGTTATTCAGCTCTATTGATCATACAATAAATATAAAAAAAGAAGTTTTTAAATACAGTACTTACTTCAATCTTGTTGTGTAGTACTGTTGTGACTAAATCTATTACAGAACCTCCAATAACTACCTAAAATATTAAAAGATTATTATTACTAATATTTATTTATAAATATATACTTTCTGATTACATACACTTTAATGTTTAAAACAATTCATTAGAAAATTTATAGCATTTTCACAAACTACTGTAAAAATATTAACTTTTCACTAAAAAATAATAATATATATTACTAAATTTATTTTATTTTTCTTCTCAAAAAAGCTTAAAAAAATAAACATTAAATATATATTTAAAAAGGCATGCTGTAAACTACTGCAAAACTGTATCAAGGATAAAATCTATTTGAGAGAGAGAGAAAATTGATGTATTTTAATATTTATATCTGTAATAATGGGGCGAGACACAAAATATGGACTGTTTTTAAAGCATGATATTTTATCAAAAAATTAAAGTAACTATTAAATATTATACAGTATATCATTTTAAAAATTTTATTTACAATAGTATAGAATTAATGAACACAATCATATATGGCCTGTGGTCGGTGATGAGCCATAAATTTATTTTGATAGACTCTTCATCGCACTCTTTGGATGGCTTTTGTGTCACTTTTTTAAAGTAAAAGTCTTTCTTCAGATCAATTGTGTGGTATTTTTTGCTCACCAACCTTTCTTATATACAAAAATCTTATATACAAAATCTTATATACAATGTGACAAAAATCTAAGAAATCTTCAATTGGCCAGCATTGTGGCAGATTTCATGGATTATGTTCTTTGGATATAAAAGGAATGTTTTTGGCTTTGAGGAATTCCACAGTCGAATTTGCATAGTGAGATGGAGGTTTGTCAGGCCGAAAGATTAAATCGTCATTTTGATAATGCTTATTGAGGGATTATGATTTACTTTAGACATTTATTTGGTACATGTCAGCATCAATTGCAAGGGATCACTTTAAAAAATGGTTTTGAAACACATGCTAGTGAAATGACAATATACAGCACTTTTGCTTCAAATTTCTTCTTAAATTTGTACTTCACTTTAGGTGGTGTTTGATTTCATTGCTTGCATAGTAAATTTCTTTCCTGGTATTTGCATGCTGGAGAAAGAATACTACTACTCATTGTTCAAAATGAATGTTTTGTTTCCAAAATTTCTTACGAGCCATCTGCATTGCATTTGGATTTCAGCAATTTATTCAGCAGTGTACTCTGGAGTCCTCTTCTTCTTCCTTTTCTTTATGCCCATCTTCTTAATTATCTTACCTACGTATGTTCGATGACAACTGAATCTTTTAGCTGCCTACACCTCGCTAACTGAATCTTTGTTGTCAAACATTTGTCGCAATGCCCTTCAGTTTTTAGCACTCGTAACAACCGGCTTTCATCCACTTCCTGGCCTTCTTTTCCACATTCCCTATTTTTATACTTCAAATTATATATAGTTGATTTGCTATGGCTTCGTATAAACAATGCTCCACCATCAACATTTTTGAGTGGTTCACTTACATTTGTAAAACACGCTCTCTTAATATGTCCTCTTTTGAAGCCATTTTTCCACTGACTCAAATGTTCAAAACTTTACGTGCTGTAACTGAGCATATGTAATGATGTAATTTTTGGCGCAAATTGATTTTAAAATTATCTTTATGAATTCAAAAGTTGTTATGCTTTAAACTCAATCCAGAATGTTTGTCTCACCCCGTTATATATAATATTATAAATAGATATTACATTGCAGTACATAAGAACTAATTCAAATACAAATTCTGATGTTTGTGTTTAAAATATGCTTTCCCAAGTACCTAACATAAGCTTGTATATTTGGAAATATTAAGTACTAGATGCATTCTACTTAAAATTCAAAATATTAATTTCTTTTGGTGTAGAAATATTTGAAATAGTTTACAAGTAATTGAAACAATGTAAAATCACTTGGAAAGCACACAAATACAGTATTTAATCATGGCACACTACATTTGAATTTCTTAAAGATGCTTGAATCGCTTAAAAATATATACTTAACATTCATAAAAAGTATAAAATAATTTCAAAATTAATATATTTAAAAATTAAAACAACTCAAAGAATTTGAAGACTCTTGTGAAAGTTTTTATGAATTTTTATTTTGTAATTACTTTAAAAAAAAAAATGACAGTATAAAAAGAACATTCTTATCTTTTATAAACATATATTATTAGTAAATAGAAAAAAACATGACATTTGAAATAATTTTAAAACCTTTATTTAAAAATGTTCTCTATACTGTATTTTTCACAAATATTCCATTGTTACTGATTAAACTACTCATACCAGTTTCTACTCTTTTTCTTCTAAAAAAATTAAATCCCAAACTTTCTAAATTATATTTTCTTTTTAAAAAGGCTTTCTTACTCCATTTGCCTTAAGCCAAATCTTTCAACAATGGCTTAATATTGCTTTGGTCTTCACATTTATTTAATTTAGTTCTGATTTCTCTAAATGTGTATGTTTTGAACAATTATTTATATTAATGGTTTGTTTTCTTCACATTATATCAGTTTAAGAATTTCAGCCACTTACACTAGAAAAACTTTCATTTATCTTCCTTATTATCTCCTAAATATAGCAATTAGATCATTTTTCTTTCAATATTATAAATCTGTTGCTAATATAAAAAACATTTTATATTTTGAGCGCCACAAATATAAATCTTACTGTAAAAGGATTTTATATTTGCCATAATATTTTACTATTCATTCATTCACATGGCATCCTCTTTACAGAGGATTGCAGTTGATAGACAGTTCTCCACTCTTCACAGTTATAGGATTTTTCCAAGCTTTGAGCCAGTCCAATTTTTGATGTCTTGTTATGTTATCCTAGGATTTCCTTTTCTCCATCTGCCCTGCACCACTCCTTGAACTACAATTTTCATCAGTTCCCCCAAGGATCCTCTTATTATATGCACAGATATGCTGTTTTCCTTCTCTGGATGTTGACCATCAGGTTTCTTTCCATTCCAAATCTACTCCTAACCTCCTCATTGGTTATTCTATCTATCCAACTAATTCTTTCCATTCCTCTAAGACACCACATCTCAAAGGAATTTATCCTATTAACTGTCTCTTGATTTATTGTCCATGATTTGCATCCATTCGTAGTCACACTCCAAATCATTGTTTTAAGTATTTTTAATTTCAATTTTTTATATACTTTTCTATTTCTTAATACTGAGGGTATTTGTTCAAAAGCAGCTTTAGCCTTTTTATTCTGTCTTTAATTTCATAATTGCACCCGTTATCCTCAGTTATCCAACATTTTCCTAGGTACTCAAACATTTTTACCTCTTCTATTTTCTTTCCATCCAACATAATCGGTAGAGCTTTGTTTTCTTCTCTTGAGATTATCATAACTTTCATTTTGTTCATGTTTATTTTCATTTGGTATCCTGCTTTTCCAACTTCTTTCAATCTATTTAGAATTTTCTGTAACCCTTCTTCGGTGTTACATAACAGAGTGATGTTGTCAGCATACCTAATGTTATTGATAAGATGTCCATTAATTTTTACACCTTTGTCTAGATATTTGAATGCTTCTATCATCATCCATTCACTGTAAATGTTAAAAGTGTTAAGGACAGACCACATTCCTATCTTATTCCTTTTTTAATCTGAATCCATTTGGCAATCTGAATTTCTCTGTATTTTAATGGGTGATATTGTTTTTTGCAGAGGGGAGGCCTTTATTGCCTTCATGACACTGCCTCATATGTGTAATAAATAATTTCTCAGAAAAAGATTCTGTTTAGTTTTCTTACATAGTAATTATCTAAACTATGCCAATGAATTTACAATATTAAATTTGAAGTCGTCTTTCATGATGTGACAAACCTACTTACAGTATATTTTATATATACAGTAATACCTCGACTTACGCTACCCCGACTTACGCCAACCCGGAGTTACGCAATTTTCAAATCTCATCGATTCGTCTTTTGTTTGAGCGCCACGCAACTCTTGATTACTCACTCACCCCACACTATTGTTCAGCTTACATGTTCGGACGTGTTGCGTGGAATCGACACATAGCTACAATATATTTTCTGTTATTTATTTCTGTGTTTGTTATATCTATGGAGACTTGAGAGACTTTGTGTGGTGATTTCTTGTAACCGTGAATGAATCAAAAGACGAGATAAGATTAATGAGAACATTTATTAGCTTACATACATTCGACTTGGGTTTTACACAAATTGAGAAATTATACCCCGACTTACGCGAATTCGACTTACGCGGTTATCGCTCGGTCCCACCTATCGTGAAAGTTCGGGGTATCACTGTACTCCTCAAAAGAGAAATCGCAACACCATAAAGGGATGTGCATAGCCACATGCAAATGATTAAGTTTGTGTAAGCATCGGGTCATGTGGTACTCAGTTTCAGGCTATAAAGACCAGCAACCAGCTCAGGTCATGCATGCTATTAGTGACAGTTTGTAGCAGCCAACTTTTGAAGAAGCATAGAAAATACCTTGGAGATAACAGTAAACTGAATATCACCAGTTAATGGCTGGGAAACAAGAACATATCATGGAGCTGTGCAACATTGGTTTGTCAATATATGCAGTTGTCACACTTGACTACTATCCAGCAATGTGTAACACAATGGCCAAAGAAACATCTGCAAACACACCAAAGAGGGAGTGGATTACAACAGCAGTACATAACAGAGTGCACGGAGCAGCAGATTTGCTGAATGGCCTGTGACATTCAAGGCTGCCTATAGCCATCAATGGCTGCATCTGTGTCTACCCAAACCATTTGCAATAGGTTGCATGAAGTTGGGCTGTGTACATGGAAACCAGCAACTGGGCTGTCATTAACAGCTCAACATGGCTGCACGCCTGGTTGCACATGGAAACCAGCAACTGGGCTGTCATTAACAGCTCAACATGGCTGCACACATGGCTGCACACATGGCTGCAGGCCTGTCAGGCATGGTGTCATTGTCATCACAACTGTACACTCACTAACATTGGGTATTGTTTACAGATGAATCCTACTTCTGTCTGTGGAGAAATGATGGCCATGAACAAATGTGACAGTATCCTGGGGAAAGCTACGTGCCAGCCCTTTTCACTGAGCATCACACTGGCCCCACACCAGGCATCATGTTCTATCTATCAGTGAACAGCCCTGGTGCACATTTCTGATACTCTGACAGCAGACTAGTATGTCTCATGAATTGTGGGTCCCACATACCATAGACACTGTACTGATGCAGGCCGCACCCAGTACAGTGTTCCAGCAAGATAATGTCCAACAACATGTTGCATAGCAAACTCTCACCAGTCTGAATGGAATTCATATCCTTCCCTGGCCAGAGCCTTGCCAGATCTCTCTTTCATCCAACAGCTGTGGAACATCGTTCAATGTGAGGTCCACCAGGGACCACCACCACACACTATAGACAACATGCATGTTGCAGTGGACACAGCTTGTCAAGAGATACCTCAGGCAACTATGTATCGCCTCATTAATAGTATGCCTCGCTGTATAGCTGCCTCTGGGGCCATATTCATTACTGAATAAACAGGTGTCTTTGCATATCTTTGTTTGTTCTTTTACTCATTTGCATATTTCTGTCACTTCTACCAGACCTGCAATGTACAGTACATATGGCTATGCACATTCCTTTGTGGTGTTGCAATTTCACTTTTGAGGAGTGTTGATTATATTGATTTATAAAAAATATTAATTGACAACATAAAAAGTATATGATATAAAAGTAGCATATTGTTTATAAAACATCAAGATTTATTTAAAGTGTAAAAGAAATAATATATTGAAAACAATCAGTTTGAAATGAAATTATTAAATGTCTTCAGATAAATTATATTCTAATTCCCTCATTTTCAAGAGAAAGATAAACCAAGCTACTATAAATTAAATAAGAAATTTTATTCAATTTTCAAAATTTTTAAATTTGAAGAAAAATAATGTTAAGAAATATTGTGTTATTATTTTAAATGGCTATTTGATCTGATGGTACAACACCACATCCGGATCATGAAAAATGTTTAATTCCAGTTAATCAATGACTTTTCTAACTTATTTAGTGATGTTTTTCATTTTTATCAAAAAAATAAGAAGTCAATGAATCTGAGGTACACAAGAATGCCATATTGCCTAAATAAGGAGTCTAACTAGTAAAGATATAATTATATTTTAAAAAATCTGATTTTTAAAATTTATAGATTATTCCAAATATTACTTCATAAGATCCATTAACTTAATCTATTTTTTTTAAATTATTCAGTATTTGCAGCATATTACAATATTAATAAAGAAAAATGATCAATTTTTCTTCATGTTTCATTGATAAATTAATGAATTAGGTCATATAGTATTTTGATTACTTATTTGAAATTTAAAAATAATTATATAAAACTTCAGTTTCTTTTTCTGGAAATTAATACATTTCAATGTGATGTTAATTTTTCTTCATATTCTTTAAAAATGCATAAAATAATTATAAAATTTATAACATTTCAAATATAATTAAATTTATCCATAAAATAGCTTGTAATTAGTTTTCCTATTTGGTTTAACATATGTAATTCAGGTTATGGTTTATATTTGTTATAATTTAACCAATGTTTTATTCACACACATAATCAGTAACAGATCCAGAAGAACTCAAAGCAGGGCTAACTCAAAAATTAAAAATATTTGAATTATTTAATAAAGATTTTTATTAACATGTAGCGCAATGATTGCAGACAATCTGATAAACTATATTTGCCATCATAAATGGTTTTCAAAACATTTTGAAGTTTAAACAAATAAATTTTAATTTTTTTTTTTTTTGTCAATTGAGGGGATTTAGTCCCTGTAGTTGCCCCCAGATCTGCTCATGTATATAATTTTATAAATTTTATGTATGTATTTTTAAATTTTACTATGTATCTAAATTTTAATTTTATAAATTAAAATTTAGCTACATACTAATATTAGCTTACAACTAAAAGTTTCCATTTCATACTTTTATAAGCATCTTACTTTTAATACTCATTTGTTCATTTAAAAATTAGTTGCATGAACAAATAAGTATTAAAAGAAAAATTTAATTTAAAATTTTACTATTAGGATGATCTTAAAATCAATAAATTTATTTTGATAAATAAATAAAAATTAATAATAATTATTTAAATAAAATTTAAATATAAATAGCTATTATTAAACACACTAATTTATTGCTCTTCTGGGTTTTAATAACTGAATGAGAATAATCTAAAATATTTTCTTTATTATTTTTTTCCAGTACATCAATATTTTTGAAAGAATTCATTTTATGAAGTTCAATTGCAATTTTACTGCCAATGACTGCATTATTTTTTATTAAGAGTATATCTAAAAGTGAGTTAAGGTTTAAGAAAAAAGGTATTAGATATTTAAATTTAAAAATTCAATTTGCTTTTATACATAACTAAATAATAAATTACATAACATAAATTAATTTATGGAATTTGTGTTACATTAAGTAGAAATAAATTGATTAAATTTTACATTGTTGTATTTATTAAGTATAAGAATAAAATAAATAACAAGTAAAATGGCAAAGCCATTTTTGGGACAAGACTATGTCTTGGAGAGAGTGAGCAATGCATGTACAAATCTTGCACTCGCCCTTGTTTACAGAAACAGTCTCAGCATTTCGTATTTTCTTTTCACCCAGTTCTTGGTCCCCTGATTACCTACAAGTCTGGTTTATTTTATGTGCGCATGATTTGGGCACCAAATACTCTGTGCCAAATTGCAACTCCTAGCATGTACTCCTTCATACCTCTAAGGCATGCAGCCATTGATAGCAATGTGATTTTAGAGACAAGACATAGTATTGTTTAATTTATGTTTATTATTGATGAGACTAAAATAATAAATACTGTGATAATACAAATCTTTTTTGCTCATAGTTTGATACTATGCAAAAAAATATACAAGTTCAAGAATAAGAAAAAGATCACAAAGAAATAATTAACAAAGCTGTTACATTAGTGTACAAGAAGATAGTTAGAAGAAGATATAGCAGCCCAACTCCCAACTAGCTTCACTCACCTGTACCCAATAAAGATGATTCATAACAAAAATTTCAATATGTATACTTTCATCTGTCTAATTCCAAATGAGGATTCTGTAATGTAAACTAGGTTGAGATCCATTTTGAAATTCACCTCCATACTCAGATTAATTGGGAGGAAGAAAAACACAGTTATCATTCAAATTGCATAAAAACTTTCCTTTCAGATTTTCTCCATCAAAATCGAACATAGAATCATCTTCAGATTCCAGAACAAAAACAACATTCTTTTTTTTCAAGCCTGTTGAACATCATGTTTTTTGGAATATTGCACAGAAAAACTTTCAAATTCCAAGTTGTATGGCTTCACTCACTCATCCCAATACAGACTATTCATAACAAAAATTTCATGACAATTCAATACCCTGCAAGAAGCCAACTTCCTTGACCAACCTCCACTCATTTGCTCTCCCTTGCTTCCTCTCTTTACTCTACTTCCTACAATGTGGGCAGCCTAACCCTTCCACCCCTGCTTGTTTTTCTCCCCCTCTCAGGCTGAGTTGGTCTTGCTTTGTTCCCTTCTTGAATCACTCTCTCTTTCATTTCACTCAACCTCATGCTCATTTCACTTACTTGTTTAAAAATTTTGTGACAATCTATTGATTTCCAGTGCCATCGTTTCTATTTTGTTTTTTCATGACAGAAAAAAGTGTTACCTCTATGTATATATAGAGTAGATTTAGTTGGTGCCCTTTGCACTTTATTGAAAGTTTTGTCCTTTCTCTTGCTTAATTTTTAAGATACTTTCCTTTGTAAACTGCCAAATAAAATAATGACTTGTATCAAATGCAAGTGAAGCTACTTGTGATGAACTCTCTTTTCTATTTTATTATTAATTAATTTCCTCCTTCAAAATTACTTTCAAATTTCTTTTGTCTTGTTAGGAGGCAACAACTTGTTTCCAACTCCATATTTCCTATTCAATTATTTTAAATGATTCTGGTACAGTAAGACCCTGCTTAACATTGCCTTGATTAATGCTGATTTGATATAACACAGTCTGCTCAAAGCCTAAAACAAAAATAATAAGCTCAAAATTTACGCTGATTCAAATTATCACATCATTTCATAGATTCATATGTAATACGATTATTTACAAACATAAACCAATCAGCAAAAGGTGGCAATTCGTCATAGAGCTGTACTTCCCTTAAATCTATGTTTGTTTTGTGCAATTTTGGAAAAAATAAAACATTATGGATGCCACATGCAATATTGACTTTGCTTGGCAAGAATTAACCAATAAATGCACGAACAGTGTGTGGAAGAAGTTATGGCTGGAGGTATCCAAGAGAAGAGCCTATCACTATATCATTAGGTTGACCAAATTGTCAACCTAATCGATACAGCAGGACTAGGAGATGTAGACAAGCAGGATATTGAGGAGTTACTGCAGGTTTCTGGTGAGAGCATTACCAATGATGACCTTCAAGAACTGGAAGAACAAAGAATTTATGTAGAACTGGAAAATAGTGATTCTGAAAACGAAGAACTCAAAGAATTTCTCTACAGATTTCCTTAGTAAAAGTTTGGTAACGATAACCAAAATCGTTGATCAAATTGTAGTGAATGATCCAAATTTTGAAAGGAGTGTGAAAGCAAAATGAGGCATTTTGGATGTGATCTTCTGCTACCAACATTTGCTTAAGGAAAGAAAAAAAAAGTAACAACTGAAACTACACAACTTTATTGCAAAAATCCAAGATTTCAGAAAAGCCAGGACCTTCATCACAAAAACTGAACTTTACATTTCTGTGTGCATATGTTTGTGTTATTTAACATATATTATTATGCAAATTAATATAAATAACTCAAAATTAAATTAAAATCTGTTTATTTTTTGTCACATGTTCCCCTTCCCTATTTACCCTATGTTAAAATGACCTCATTTAACGCTGTTTTGTTTAGCCTTTGTTGTCTAGGAATGTATCCCCCACATTAAGTGAGGTCTTACTGTATTGTTGTAACTGCTTCTTAATCTTGTTTATGAAGGAAAATAATTTTCTTTAGTTAATATTGCATTTTTTTCTCTTAAATGGGCAATTTCTTCCTTCTCTGCATGCAATGGTGTTTTCCTATTCTCTTTTGCATCTTCTGTATCATATTTCACTACATCTTTGTTAAGTTCTTGCCTCACAATACCACTTTCTCTTCCTTTTGTTCCTGTTTATCTGCTTGTGAGAGCTGTCATATATACCAATAAACTGGAATATCATGTGTCTTCGTCAGACAGTACTCATTGATTATCTTCTAAGATTTTTGCTTAAGTTATACAATTTTCAGCGCTTGCAAGATTAAAATATTCCTTTTAATTCTCTTTAACACCTCCTAGTCTGAAATTTCTAATTGAATTAATACAACTGTTGGCATGACATCCAATCCAAGTATTTAATATATAAACATGAAATATGCACCATTTCTTTATTTTATTGTAACTTAGTAGTTAAAAAAAGAGTAAAAGTTACTGTCAATAGGGTTGAGCAGTACGAAACAACAATTGATATACTTATCATTATGCGAAGGATTTTCAAAACCTTTTCTCAGCATATGGCAATATAAATTTTGTGCAACAGTACAAACTTTTATTTATCTAAAAACAAAATTGGAAGTGATATAGGAACAGGAAGAGGGCTACAATTCAGTTTCAAATACATTTTCAATTTCTGTTTGACTTTGATTTAGTAAACAATGTAACTTTACAAAAATGCCTTTCCTGGTGTGTAGTAAACAACAAATATGCTTGCTATTATTCTGTTCTTGCAAAATACCACCAAAAACTATTCAAAATTCACTGCTACTAGTTACACCATTCAGAAGATAAAATTATTTGTATGAAAAGTTCCTTAAATATAATAATACCTATTTATATTCATATTATGCTTACATTAAATTGATATTTTTTACATTAAAATTGTCATTAAAATATGTCAATTATAGCAAAATGTGTATTGTTTGTTGAACAGTTGTGCCAGGTGACAACTCACATAAGTCACCGATCCACTACATAACTTTGTATGGAAAATTTATCTCTGGGAGTAGAATGGCTCACAAGAGCCACTCAAGAAGAGAGACTCGTCATTGAAAAACTTCATACCATACTTAGAGTTCAAGATCAGAGTTGGTTTTCTTGAATTTCTTGATCTTCATTACCTGACCGCCAATCACTGAGATGCTCATTTGTTTAAGAAAATCATTCTACAATAGCATAGAATGGATCATAAATGAGTCCAGGACAAAAAGCATACTGTCCACTATAACTTTTATATCAAATATCTGAAGTGAAATTGACACTTGTAAAAATACCAGTGCACATTTTCAAGTAACAAAATTGGTTATCTACTAAGAATATTCAGTAGTCACATGAGAGTCAAGTTTCTGCCTGACTTGATAAAATACAGTCATTAGATGTCCACAAATTTAAGTATCTCTTACATATTTGGAATGATTAGTGAAGGAATACATCACACAGCCAAGTTGTAAAAACATTGTTATTACATATGTGTGTCATTAGTGTGTGTCAAGCAAACTGAAGGAAGCCAAGCTGTAAAATCATTGATATTTTTACAGTTTGGCTTCCCTTCAGTTTACTTGATACATATTAATGACTTTATTGTCAAGAGTTTGGGTATATCACGTTTCTTTCAATTTGTCAGAACAATTTATGTTCACATGACTTTTCTTCTTTTCACAATGAAAAATTTTTATTGGTTAGAGGTAACTCAAGGTTTTTTTTCTTTCACAGTTTCACAATTACTAAACTTTTCTCTAAATTTATTATTATTATTTTGTTTCATAAAATAAAGATTTGATGTCTTATTACAAAATATAGTTGAACATTTTAGAAATATGCAAAATAATCAACTTGTAAGGCTAGTTCCAGCATTTTATACAAATATTTGTGATATGACTTCCTTTTTTACTTTGTGATAACTATGTACTTGTCATCTGCTTACTTTTGGTGAAAATTCTGACTATTTTTAGTGTCTCCATGATTTTGACGTTTTCAAAACTGATAAATAAGTTAATATAACTTCTCAAAAATTAATTTATGCAAACAATTTTCTGTAGATGTCATCCACATCCACACATTTTATATATAATTTTACTTTATTATCTAAATGTATTTACTTTATTATAAAAATTATGTAAAATTATTATTATTTAAAACGCTCAGAAATTGTTTAATTAAAATTAATAGAAGGATACTTGATTTCAATGATTCTCCTAATGTTAAATCATTGACTTTTTTTAGAATGAATGGAGTCACATCTTTTCCTTTGACGTTTTTTCCTCTGTTAAAAAGTAAATAAATATTTAAATGTAAAAATGTAAAAATATTATAAATATTGAGTTTCTAAATTAAACTTTTTAAATTTGTGAGTGTCTTTTAAAAACTGAATTTAAACAAACAACAACAATATAAAACATTTTTTAGAAAAAAGGGACTCATTTTACTTTATTTATTGAAGATGACTTAAATGCAAATGAGGCAAAAGAATATTTGTTACTTTCCCAGCTGTTATATATATATGTTACTGTGAATGACCAATATCTGGCGAATGTCAGCATTCACACAGTCGTTTCATGCATGTATGAAATATTTACTAAATATCATTATTTCTCACTTACACTGGTAAATGTCGACATTCAGCATGCACTGATGGTGAATGTTGAATAAAAATATTTTTATTACGTTTTAAGGCAAAAATGCAACTTTTTAATATGTCAAAATAAGAGAAAGCTTAAGTAACAGCACATGTAAATAAACTGTTGAACCTAAAACAAACAGTACATTCTAAATCATTAGAGAAAATAATACAATAATAAACTTACACATAAATTATGTGATTAATGTTATATAATCTTATTTATTGCAACAATTTAAACTGTTATGGCACTTTGAATTGCACAAGAGTCCTTGCTTTTACAACTGCATTTATTCGTGGAACACTTCTTTTTGCAATGACAGCATGTAAAGCCTTGCCCTCCACTTTTCAAATTAGCTTCAGCTGCTTATCTCAGTGATATTTCTTGAAAAGAAATCTCATCTATGAAAAGTAACTTTTCTTTATAAATTACGAACTGATTACGTTATTATGAACTGATCTGTTAATGGTGTCTTTTATTTGGATATCACGGACGCCTTACCGACGACCCCTCTCATCCTCTGCCACTCGACCTGACAAACCGATTCCCACCTCACAGGATCAAAAGAACAAAAACGCCATCCAGTGACAAAGTGGGCAGGTTCCACCAAATTGCTGCTGGGAAAAGCTACTCACAAAGGATTTGGCAACAGACTGTTGCCTCTCTGTCGGCATCGGCTTCACGGGTGTCATTTCGACCTCCATCAAAGCTTATCTGTGCTTGTCGACATACACCGGCAATTGTTCGAATATATAATAATATAACCAAATATTCGGCCTTTCACCGATGTATTTTGTATGTGTCGACATTCACCAGAGAATATCGACATTCTTTAATTTCGGTCTTTCACAGTACATATACATATACATATACAACAAGAGAAAATGTTGAAATCATGTCAAATTTGATCCTCTGAGTTTTTTTCAAATTTCCATGTTTCAAGATTCCCTGAACCCAAAAAGTCAAAAGAACAGAATATAAAAATTCCAAATGAGTGTTTGTGTGTGTCGGTATCTATTTCATTTAATATCTCACAATAGGGAAATGATTAAGAAACAAAAGTTGGCATGGTAGCTTATGTATAAAGGGTAATAATGCTATTACATTTTGGCAGTTAAAGGTTAAGGAAGTGGATAGGTAAAGGGAGGTCATGTGACATATCACAAAAGAGGTCAGACTTAATGAATATTGTATTCATTATTAGCATTTACAATTTTCTATAAAACTCATCTCTACCCTCAAAATTCAACTTTTTGTCATTTTATAATAATTAATAATATAAAAGTTATTTTTTAAATAATATCTCATAACAGCCGGGAAAGTTATGATTGATTTTTTAAAAAATAAATTGGTTTTATATTGATGACATATATTTATAAGCAATTTTTAAAAGACTATAAATATTATATAGTCATAACTGGTTATTTAAAATATAACAGTTTGAGAAAAAATAAATTATTATTAAATGAAATTTAAAATATTTAACCAAATTATTGAATCAAATTGATTACAATATTTCATATAAAATTTTTAATACAGGGCAATAAAACAAAGTTTATTTGAGAAGCATAGACTTAGTGATAGCAGATGCCTGACTGACTTGTCACATGCCATCAATTTATTTATTTAGAATTTCAAATGTCTCTTTAGTCCATAGTAAATAAATGTTCAAGGTTTATCCTAAGTGCTTGTCAAGCAGTAGCACAACTGACGCAACACATTGTCAAATCCACTCTTCTCATATAAACTTTTCTTTTGTCAATCAGTACGACATATTTTATACTGTGTTAAACTATATGTAACTTTAAAAAGTTTCTTGGTTGCATTTTATTTCAGAAATTTAGACATTTAGGACTTTTATGCATATTTGTTTTCAAGTACTTTCCTTGGTGAGAACAGAGTTCTGAAAATGAAGTACAGCGTTATATTATCTAGAAATATTATAAAGTACTTTGCAATCAATGTATCTCTTACAGAGCCATTTTCAGACAATTTATATGCTCTGAATTTTTATTGTAGTTGTCCTTCAGAAGCAAGAAGAAATAAAAATCATAAAAATAAATCAGCCAAATTAAGGAAACACTACAATTTCAAATTTGGCAAGCTATATCAATTATTGAACAGAAGTACTGCTGATATAACTTCTACATTGACATCTGTTATTTAACATGTAAGCTGCACACAAAACAAATACTTGGTTGCTCTGTATCAACAAATTCATCTTTCTTATCCATGTATTCCTCATGCTATTTCTTAGTTAGATTTCTCAGTTCAATATAACGGCAGACACAATGTAATGTTGTGAGGCTAAACCACACTATGTTCAGTATTTACTTATATTTCCCACATGTTTTACAATTTGCATGGACTAACTCTACATTGAATCAACACTGTCCTCATTCCAAATATAATCAGGCACACATTCAAATTTCAATTTTAATGAGATTTGATTATTTCACTATTACTTAAATATCTGCATCTGTGACTATGATTATCAAACTTTTACATATGAAACTCTGTTATTTTCCTATGACTATTTTTTCAAGTTCTGGAACTTGAAAAAATGGCACTTGAGAAAATTTTTATAGGAAAGTATTCTCAACATACTAGATCAAGACACTTGTGAATGCATTACCATAGTTGCTAAGTTTAGAAAATTTCCAAAGCTATTTTATACAATTAGATGAGCAAAAATGTTATTGAATCAATCAATCAATCATCATCATCATCATCATCATCAATCAATCAAATAACATTGCCATTTCACTATTAAAATTTTCAGTTGTATAAGCAATTAATAAAATTCCACACCTATTCCTTTAACAAAGTTTTTACTCTCACATATGTTTATAGATATATTAAATGTCCATCTTTAGATAACCATTATCAAATAGTCCTGAAGATAGATGTTTAATAGTAAAAAACATTTGCACATAAGAATAAAAGCTTTGCTGGAGGAATAAGGTGTAGAATTTTATTAATTGAATGATATCCAGTTTGACTTTTGTGATTTTTCATAAGCAATTGTAAGTTTTTTGAAGAAAACGAACACACAATCCAACATGTTTTTAGAATAATTATCAAATTTTAAAGTATATATTTAAAACATCATCATCATTTATACATATATATATGTATATATTATTTGAAAGTAGAAAATTTTGATATGTGAAGATACATAGCCATAAAGGTAATAAATATTTTATTACAACAAAAAATATGTACACAGTTTTCATATTTTCAAAAATCTCAAATTTCAGGTTTGATATTTTAACATTAAAATATGTTTAATATGGAATATGATGAACTATTACAGAAATACTGACAACAACAAGACATACTTGTGACAAGGTCATTTATAACTTTGTCCAAGAAATCCCCTTCTTTGATGAGGGTCATTCTTAACTTAAACAGTTCTTAGTGAGGTTTTACAAGCTTCTCAGTTCCAAGTCTGGAGATCTAGCTGACTAGTTCATCCTAGAAACATATTCATTTTCTAGAAGCTCATCATCAAAAACCTGAACTCTGTGAGATTGAACATTGTGGCCGTCAGCCATGATATGTTATATTTCCTATATTTTATGTTGTAGTAGTATTAGAGTTTCCTTTCTCTTTGTCTAAAACCGTCTAGAACTTTCTTTTCTCTAAACCTTCCTATAACTTTCTTTGTCTGAACCCCTTTTTGCCCTTGGGGGAGGATTACCATATTCGTAGAAATAAAGCACAAAGGAAAAGGGAGTGAGGCCCGGAAGCAAAACGGAGAGAGAGAAGATTAGATTGAGTGGAGATCTCGAGTAGGTAGGAGGGAACAGAGAGGTGCTCCTACAAGTGAAGTGACCTGAGACAAAGCGATCCAGAGAAAAAAAAAAGGAGGACTGTAGACGAAAAGTCTACAAGTGAGAGGTAATCAAAGACAACTCAATCGGAAAAACAAAGACTGTAGACGAAAGGTCTACAAATAAGAAGTGACCTAATAATAAAAGTGCAGAGAGAGAGAGATCATCGAGGGAAGGCCTCTTAGTCCGAAGTGTTCTCCAACCAAGGGCTCATCAAAATCCAAACCCGGGTATTTCTACTTCTTTTCTTGTCTATCTCTATATCCTATATTCTTTCATCTTCAGTTATAAGTTAGTGTAAGTTAACGTAAGTTAGTTTAAGTAATTTTGGTCTTCGTCATATTTTTGTCGCGTGGTTAACAGATAACTGTTTTTGAGGTGTACCATTGAGCGCCTGTGTACGTATAAAATTCGAAAAATTGTAAAGTTGGGATCCAATAAACAAACCTGTTCAGTGAGAAAAATAATACTTTGTGTTGAGACTCTTGTTTTTGTACCATTTCGCTCGCGGGATCGTGTACTTCTTTCTCACTTCGAACCACCACAATGGTGTCCGCGACAGGATCCCAACTGTAACAAAGGCAAGTTGTCGTATATCTTTTTCATTGTAATACCCAATTATAATCTCAGTTTATCTTATTTGTGTATATACGTATTGTAATGGCAACGAACAACCAAGTGGGGAGCTCAAATTCTGGTGAAGATTTCAGTCCAAACCCGCCGTTAGTAGTTACAGGATTCCTGGGCATGATCCCTATATTTTCTGGAACGCAGGATGATACGGTCAATATTAAGCAGTTTTTCATGAC